TGTGTGTGTGTGTGTGTGTGTGTGTGTGTGTGTGTGTGTGTGTGTTTGTAGATGTGGATCTGCTGGAGTTCTGGGAGCCGGATGTGTTCAACTACACGACTCTCCTGCTGAGCGAGGAGCGCGGCGTGCTGTACGTCGGCGCTCGAGAGGCCGTCTATGAGCTCAACATGAGCAACGTGTCAATCAAGAGTAACCAGGTGAGAGTTATTACAGGCGTCTGATTCCTGAGACAGCTGAAATCTCTTTTAAAGACCCTCACAGTGCACAGTTTTCCCCTGGTGTGATGCTGTATTGACTCTGTTCTGTATCAGCTGCTGTGGAAAGTTCCAGAGAGCGACATGTCGATGTGTATTTTAAAGGGGAAATCTAAAGAGGTAATGTGGAAAAACAGACTCAAATTGACCTTAATCTGATTATTCTGTCACTGACGGTGGATTCTTTGTAAATATTTGATCCAGAAGGTGTTTTTTGATCGGTAACTGAAATGTTTTTGTGCTCGTGTGACAGACGGACTGTCGGAACTACATTCGAGTTTTGCAAGTGCTGGATGAAGACAGTCTGTATGTTTGCGGGACTCACGCCTTTCAACCTCTCTGTGATTATCTGGTGTGTGCATAAACCTTTCAAACATTTCAAGTGTCAGCCAAACTTGCCAACAAACACTCATCTTTATAAGATTGCATCCACTTTTTTTTTGTTTAGCATTTTCAATAAATCTTTCAGGAAAGTGTTTTAAATCCTGAGCTGAAGCAACCACCTCCCAGATGAATTATACGATAACATTTGAGGCAAATAAGTATTTGAAAAATGGAGAAAAAAAAGCTTGCGTGAATTTGGTCATTAGGAATGACTTCAGCTATTAAATACAGTTTTTTATTTATTTTTATTAAGTTTAAATGACACTGATTCATGGCTTCTACAGAAGAATATATAATAATTTTACATCTGAGCTAATAAATCACTTTCTCTGTGCTCCAGTGTTATTTTAGTATCATTAATATACTATTATAATATCTATTTAATATTTTGCATGTTTTTATATTTATATTTATATTTTTATTTTAGTTTAAGTTTTAGTTGTATTGTTATGCACTTTTGTTAATTTTATTACTATCTTTTAATATTTTTATTTCAGTTTTAGTAATATTATTACTTAAACTTACACATGTTTCAGTTATTTGCCATGGCAGCATTTTAAAGTTTATGTATTATTATTATTATTATTATTTTACCATTTCAGTCTAATATTAAATTAAATATTTATTTTTGAAACAATTTTTAAGTTATAGTAAATATTTAGATGATTTTTAAAAACAATTTATTTGTTTTGGTTTTAGATAATAACAACAATACTGCTTGGATTTTTTAAATTTGGGAACTAATTGTTCCGCTATAGATTTAAACACAAACGCTTTGTTACCAATTTCAAACTATGTGACATTTTGGTTTGTCAGAACTTCCCTGATATTTTGATTACAATGGCTCTGAATACTGCATTTCTGAATATTAATACAATAGTTTCCTCTTTCTGTCGCCATGAAGTCGGATTGTGTAATCATGTGACTTTATATCTGTTCTGTTTCTTATTTTGCTTTTGCATCATAATAAAACTCAAACTTTGAGATGCATCTTCATGTCTTACTGTCTCATTTCTCTTCAGTCGCTGCAGGGTTTCCGTTTGCAGGACAGAGCAGAGGACGGCAGGGGGAAATGTTCCTTCGACCCGGCCCAGAGCTTCACCACTGTGATGGTTGGTGAGTTAACACACCAAACCACATCTGCAGGACAGTCTCAGTGTTTGTCTGCTGTCTGTCCAGTAGTACTGACTGGTTAACTGCTTGTTTGTTGTTCAGATGGCGAGTTGTACTCGGGAACGGCGTATAACTTCCTGGGCAGCGAGCCGATCATCTCCAGATCTTCTCTGTCTCAGAGTTTGCTGCGCACAGAGTATTCAACGTCCTGGCTCAACGGTACGACGCTAATGTGTCCACAGCTGTATAAAACTACATACAGTATGAGTACACATGAATATACAAGTATGCAGAGAGAACCGTTGATGTAGACACACATTCAGATCATTTAATGAAGCAAAAACGACATCAAAATCGAGTTATCGTTAATAAAAACCAAAACGAATAAAAACGTTTCTGTTAATTAAAATAAAGATGAAATAATATGAAATGCAACTATTAGATGAAAAACTTCAACTAAATGAAAGTTAGAAATGTTGCCTCGGCAACCAACTGAAATAAGTTTAAGATGAAGCACTAAAATTACTAACTGGAAATAAATAAAAACTAAAATTAAATTAAACCTAAATAGTGATTTACAAAATAGTAGTAAAAATGACAAAAGCACATAAAATCATTAACAGAATTATGAATGTATAAAAGTAATATTAAACTGAAAATATAGAAATAAAATCGAATAAAAAATATTAATAAAAATTATAATAGTGTGTAAATAATGCAAAAATATTCATATTTAAAAAATACTAATAAAAATGATAAATGTACATACAATTTCTAGAGTTTTTATTCACATTGATATTTATAAAACTATATTTTAAAAAACTGAAATCATAAAAGCTATTTCAAAACATTAATAAAAACGGTACTATTTTATTTAATTAATAAAAATATATTTAACTAATGAAAAACTTATACAAATGACAAAAGCACATAACAAAATGACTGAAAATTGAGTATTTTTATTAGTATATTTAAATGAAAACTGAAAATATGAAAATGAAAGCTAATTCAAAAATGTTAATAAAAGTGTATAAATAACACTAAAATATTCATTAAAAAAACTAATAAAATGACAAAAGCACATAACAGAATGACTGAAAATGTAGTATTTTTATTTGTATATTAAAATGAAAATATGAAAATTCAAGCTAATTCAAAAATTAATAAAACTATAAAAGTGTATAAATAATACTAAAATATTAATAAAAAACTAATAAAATGACAAAAGCACATAAAATTTCTGAAAATGTAGTATTTTTATTTGTATATTAAAATGAAAACTGAAAATATGAAAATGAAAGCTTATTCAAAAATGTTAATAAAACTATAAAAGTGTATAAATAATACTGAAATATTAATTTAAAAAACAAAAAGGAATAAAATGACTAAAGCACATAACAAAATGACTGAAAATGTAGTATTTTTATTTGTATATTAAAATGAAAATTAAATTTGGGAACTAATTGTTCCGCTATAGATTTAAACACAAACGCTTTGTTACCAATTTCAAACTATGTGACATTTTGGTTTGTCAGAACTTCCCTGATATTTTGATTACAATGGCTCTGAATACTGCATTTCTGAATATTAATACAATAGTTTCCTCTTTCTGTCGCCATGAAGTCGGATTGTGTAATCATGTGACTTTATATCTGTTCTGTTTCTTATTTTGCTTTTGCATCATAATAAAACTCAAACTTTGAGATGCATCTTCATGTCTTACTGTCTCATTTCTCTTCAGTCGCTGCAGGGTTTCCGTTTGCAGGACAGAGCAGAGGACGGCAGGGGGAAATGTTCCTTCGACCCGGCCCAGAGCTTCACCACTGTGATGGTTGGTGAGTTAACACACCAAACCACATCTGCAGGACAGTCTCAGTGTTTGTCTGCTGTCTGTCCAGTAGTACTGACTGGTTAACTGCTTGTTTGTTGTTCAGATGGCGAGTTGTACTCGGGAACGGCGTATAACTTCCTGGGCAGCGAGCCGATCATCTCCAGATCTTCTCTGTCTCAGAGTTTGCTGCGCACAGAGTATTCAACGTCCTGGCTCAACGGTACGACGCTAATGTGTCCACAGCTGTATAAAACTACATACAGTATGAGTACACATGAATATACAAGTATGCAGAGAGAACCGTTGATGTAGACACACATTCAGATCATTTAATGAAGCAAAAACGACATCAAAATCGAGTTATCGTTAATAAAAACCAAAACGAATAAAAACGTTTCTGTTAATTAAAATAAAGATGAAATAATATGAAATGCAACTATTAGATGAAAAACTTCAACTAAATGAAAGTTAGAAATGTTGCCTCGGCAACCAACTGAAATAAGTTTAAGATGAAGCACTAAAATTACTAACTGGAAATAAATAAAAACTAAAATTAAATTAAACCTAAATAGTGATTTACAAAATAGTAGTAAAAATGACAAAAGCACATAAAATCATTAACAGAATTATGAATGTATAAAAGTAATATTAAACTGAAAATATAGAAATAAAATCGAATAAAAAATATTAATAAAAATTATAATAGTGTGTAAATAATGCAAAAATATTAATATTTAAAAAATACTAATAAAAATGATAAATGTACATACAATTTCTAGAGTTTTTATTCACATTGATATTTATAAAACTATATTTTAAAAAACTGAAATCATAAAAGCTATTTCAAAACATTAATAAAAATGGTACTATTTTATTTAATTAATAAAAATATATTTAACTAATGAAAAACTTATACAAATGACAAAAGCACATAACAAAATGACTGAAAATTTAGTATTTTTATTTGTATATTTAAATGAAAACTGAAAATATGAAAATGAAAGCTAATTCAAAAATGTTAATAAAAGTGTATAAATAACACTAAAATATTAATTAAAAAAACTAATAAAATGACAAAAGCACATAACAGAATGACTGAAAATGTAGTATTTTTATTTGTATATTAAAATGAAAATATGAAAATTAAAGCTAATTCAAAAATGAATAAAACTATAAAAGTGTATAAATAATACTAAAATATTAATAAACTAATAAAATGACAAAAGCACGTAACAAAATTTCTGAAAATGTAGTATTTTTATTTGTATATTAAAATGAAAACTGAAAATATGAAAATGAAAGCTTATTCAAAAATGATAATAAAACTATAAAAGTGTATAAATAATACTGAAATATTAATTTAAAAACCAAAAATGAATAAAATGACAAAAGCACATAACAAAATGACTGAAAATGTAGTATTTTTATTTGTATATTAAAATGAAAATATGAAAATTAAAGCTAATTCAAAAATTAATAAAACTATAAAAGTGTATAAATAATACTAAAATATTAATAAAAAACTAATAAAATGACAAAAGCACATAAAATTTCTGAAAATGTAGTATTTTTATTTGTATATTAAAATGAAAACTGAAAATATGAAAATGAAAGCTTATTCAAAAATGATAATAAAACTATAAAAGTGTATAAATAATACTGAAATATTAATTTAAAAAACAAAAATGAATAAAATGACAAAAGCACAACAAAATGACTGAAAATGTAGTATTTTTATTTGTATATTAAAATGAAAATATGAAAATATGAAAATGAAAGCTAATTCAAAAAAATGAATAAAACTATAAAAGTGTATAAATAATACTAAAATATTAATAAACTAATAAAATGACAAAAGCACGTAACAAAATTTCTGAAAATGTAGTATTTTTATTTGTATATTAAAATGAAAACTGAAAATATGAAAATGAAAGCTTATTCAAAAATGTTAATAAAACTATAAAAGTGTATAAATAATACTGAAATATTAATTTAAAAAACAAAAACGAATAAAATTACAAAAGCACATAACAAAATGACTGAAAATGTAGTATTTTTATTTGTATATTAAAATGAAAACTGAAAATATGAAAATGAAAGCTTATTCAAAAATGTTAATAAAACTATAAAAGTGTATAAATAATAATGAAATATTAATTTAAAAAACAAACGAATAAAATTACAAAAGCACATAACAAAATGACTGAAAATGTAGTATTTTTATTTGTATATTAAAATGAAAATATGAAAATATGAAAATGAAAGCTAATTCAAAAATGTTAATAAAAGTGTATAAATAATACTAAAATATTAATTTAAAAAACTAAAATGACAAAAGCACATACATTCCTAAGAAAAACAGTATTAATAAAACTAATATTAAGATGAAAACTACAAATAAAAGCTGTAATGTAAACTATAATAGTATAGAAGTAAAAGCTCAGTTCTGTGTTCAGAGCCCAGTTTCGTCTTCGCCGATGTGATCCGAGAAGGACAGAACAGTCCGGATGGAGATGACGATAAGATCTACTACTTCTTCACGGAGGTGTCGGTGGAGTACGAGTTCTTCGGGAAGCTGCTGATCCCCAGAATCGCTCGCGTTTGTAAGGTGAGAAATCCTGATCTGAACACAGATGATTCACACAAGCATTTTCATGGCGTGTGGCAGTGTTTTGTTTTCAGTGAAAGCATTAAAAAGACTTCTTCCGGGGAATTTGTTCCACCTGCTTGGGGTTTTTTTCTCTCGTAAAAACAATCAACTTCCCTCTTCCTCACCTTTGACAGATGTTTAAATCTGATCACCTGCCTTCGTCTCACTTTCTGCTTTTCATTCTTGCTTTATCTGTCGACATCTGGCTTTCAGTTTACTGCTGATCAGACGTAATCAGTGCAAATGTGACCATGTCTGGTCATTTTTGTTACATTAAAATCATTCAGAGTTGCAGATTATGCGAATATATTCTTGCAAGTCACATTTTTGACAGATTTGCACAAGGTTTGGCTCATATTGATGTTTATTCTAGAAGCTTTTATTTAAAAAATATTCAAAATGTTATTAAATGTATATTAGTGTATAAATTATGATAAACTATTAAATAATAATGATAAAATATTTAACAAACTAAAACTAATAAAACTGACACTACATAACAAAATTACAAACAAGTATTAATAAACCTAATATTAAAACAAAAACTTAAAATATGAAATTAAAGCTAATTCAAAATAATAAAAACTGTGTCAGTGTATAAAAATATTAATATTTAAAAAACAAAAACTAATAAAAATTCTAAAACAACAACAACATTTCTAAACAAATTAGTATTTATATTAGTATTAATAAACCTAATATTAAAACAAAAAATGAAAATATAAAAATAAAAGCAAATTCAAAATATGAATAAAACTATAAACGTGTATAAATAATACTAAAATAAATCTTAATATTTTAAAACAAAAACGAGTAAAAATGACAACTTCAAAACAAAATAAAAATAGTATTAATATTATTATTAATAAACCTAATATTATAATGAAAACTCAAAATATGTATAAAAATTGTATGTGCATAATATGAAATTGTATAAAAAATGTAATAAACTAATCAAAATGACCAAAGAACATAACTAAATTACTAAAAAAAAGTATTAATATTGGTTTTAAATGATAATATAGTATTAAATGCTATTAATAGCTGCAGATGGGGAAGGTTGTTTAGTTTATGACGCAGCGTGTCGTTCTGCTTGTAATCAGTACTAAATAACTGGCCATGAGTCTGACATTAATAATTTTTTTCTATTAAATATAATAGCGCTATTATTCTTCATTTTACCATCCTGCTATCAGCAAAACTCCCGATGAGCTAACTGAATAAAACTTCACCTCTGGACAAAGTGTATGAGATCATGGAAATCTTTGAACATTCATACAATAGTCTGAAAACCGCACAGCTTCTGGATTTGGTTTATCGCTCGGAACTGTGGATGGTTTTAGTTCCAGATATATTGAAATACATACTTCATGTAAATGACCCAATGCAGAGATAATATTGTAAAGTTGATCACATCTCTCGCTGTAACAGGGGGATCTGGGAGGCCAGCGGACGCTGCAGAAGAAGTGGACGTCGTTTCTGAAGGCTAAGCTGGTTTGCTCAATGCCGGAGCTCAACTTTGTCTTCAATGTGGTTCATGACGTGTTTATTCTGAAAGCGCCGCACTGGAGAGACACCATCATCTATGGGGTCTTCACATCTCAGTGGTGAGCGTGTGTGTGTGTGTGTGTGTGTGTGTGTGTGCGTGTGGTTAGTTACTCATGTTGATGAGCAGGACTTAAAGCTTGTTTGGTATTTGAAACCACTTGTTCCTGTTTGGCTTGATTCATCGGTGCATGAGCGTCAGAGAATCACCTGCATCTGAGTAATCAAAAGTATGCAGATCAAAAGATGTGGCACAACTGGATTATTTTTTATGCATAAGGGACTTTTCTTTGTTTGTGTGTGTTTCAGGGGGAATGTCGGTCTGTCCGCCGTCTGTGCGTATAACATGAGCTCAGTGCACGAGGTTTTCTCCAAAGGGAAGTTCATGCAGAAGGCCACGGTGGAACAGTCCCACACCAAGTGGGTTCGATTTAATGGCATCACCCCGAGTCCCAGACCCGGAGCGGTTAGTATTTCCCCAAAACGGGGATTTCAGTGGTATATATGTGTGCTTACAGGATCCTTAGATTAGATGATGCTGGGAAGGGAATTAGTTATATGAGTCTATAGAAATTAAATTAATTGAAAATAAATTAATAAAAATAAAAATGAATAAAATATTAAAATGAATAATTAAATTATAATGAATTTTTTTTAAAGCATATGATGCATATGTAGGACAAGCAGTTTGGAAAATGAATGGATGTGAAATAAAATACAAATAAAATTGTAATAATAAAAAAATAAACTAAATAAATAAAAAATGAAAAACTTGTTAAAGGAAGATTTATGGTTGTGAAATGAAAATAGATAAAAAATAAATATCAATAAAATGTAAATAATAAAATAAAATAATTACAAATAATTAAAAGCCCAAATAATAACTTAACAAATAAAAATTAAAAACGTATTTTAGGAAATAAATGTTCAAACAAGTAACATAATATATATATATATATATAATTTAAAAAAATCACAATTTTAAAATTTAAAAAAAGCTTGTGACCCTACATAGGACAAGCAGTTTGGAAAATAAAATAAAAATAATTACATTAACTTACAGATTAATTGCTCTATCATTAATGATTTCATGCGATGATTATATATTCCAGTGCATCAACAGCCTGAACCGCATGCAGAACATCAACTCGTCCCTCCAGCTGCCCGATAAGACGCTGCAGTTTGTGAAGGACCATCCGCTGCTGGAGGACCCTGTGCTGCCCATCGGAAACGGCCCGCGCCTCATCACCAAAGACGTCAACTACACGCAGATCGCAGTCCAGAGAGTGCAGGCGCTCGATGGAAACATCTATGACGTCATTTTCACCGGCACCGGTGAGTGTGTGCAGCCAAATCTGTGAAACCACAGGTTCTGCTCATTTTCTTATTTTGTTCATCTCATATCTTGCTTATTTTCTGTTTTATGTATATTTTATTATATATCATTTAGTATTTCTCAATACCTTATAATATACTTTATACTTTTACAATCAGGTAAATATAAATATAATATCCATACTTCCATATTTGTTCTGAAATAGCTTCTGAGTCAAAGGAATCATTTTAATTTATAACCCCCAAATAATAGTATAACTGAGTGAACAGCAATATTTAATTTATTTATTTTATATATATATATATATATATATATATATATATTTTTTTTTTCTACAAGTATTTCTCAATACTTGTAGAAAAAAAAAATATATATATATATTTTTTTTTTCTACAAGTATTTCTCAATACTTTATAGTATACTTTAAAATTTAAGAATCACGTCAAACATCATAATTTATTTTATCTTTATTAAGATAAAAGGAATCATTTTAATTTAAAAGCACCAATATAACAGTATAATTGAATAAACAGCCATATTTAATTAATTTATTTATTATATATAAATATATATATATATTTCTTTCTTTCTTTTTTTTCTACAAGTATTTCTCAATACTTTATAGTATACTTTAGAATTTAAGAATCAGGTCAAACATGACCATTTATTTTATCTTTATTTATATAATCTTATAATAACTATACTTGCATATTTGCTCTGAAATCATTTAGAGTCATAGAAATCATAATCATAATTTAAACAGCCATTGCCAGGAAAGTGAAATACAGTACAAATTTTTATAATGTACTTTATAATTTTAGTCAGGTGAATCATCATCATTTATTAAATTTTTAATATATATTTTATTAGTTATATTTTTTGTATAG